CCTATATATATATAGGAAAGTTTCAGTGCCTTGATGGTGCTTATAATCCTGTTCATAACACTTCATGACTGACAGCTGTCTGTACTTCACAGCGACAGACACCAACACAGCTATGGCGTCTATCAGCATCTTCATTGTGGTCTTTGCCTTTTTCTCTCAAGGTAATATTCTGTACTTTTTTTTTGGCAAATACATTGTAATAGTAATTATTCATTTAGAGATTAAAAAAAATGAAATGATAGAGTAAAGGGTATTACAGCAATTCAGCTGTTTTGCTAAGTACAGCCATATATTATTATTATTTGATAAATAGTTTGAGTTCACATACGAATTTATTTACAAAATTAGAAATGCAAAAGGTAATATCAGGATTTATTATCTGTTATTACTTATTTTATTAATTTTTGTTACTAATATGTTTTTATTTTGCACTTATTTTCAGAATCCAGTGGCCAGGTCACTGTGACTCAGACCCCTGCAGTAAAGGCTGTTCTCCAAGGACAGACTGTCACTATGAGCTGTAAAGTCAGTCCGGCTGTGTATAACAATAATATCTTAGCCTGGTACCAACAGAAACCTGGAGAAGCTCTTAAACTCTTGATCTATTATGCAAGTACCCTTAACTCTGGGATTCCATCTCGATTCAGTGGCAGTGGATCTAGTACTGACTTCACTCTGACCATCAGTGGAGTCCAGGCTGAAGATGCAGGAGATTATTACTGTCAGAGTTACCATAGTGGTGGGGTGTTCACACAGTGATACAGAGCCGTACAAAAACCTTCCTCAGGCAGACTGCACAGTGACTGCACTGCTGCAGCTGGGACTCACTGCAGGTGCTGAGGGGGAAGTTAGACTAGATTTGTTTGTTTTGGGATAAACATCTTCATTAAAGAATAAGATTAATAAAATGAAATGAAATTAAATAAATACAGGGTACTTGGTGGGTAGTGTTTCAGGGGGGGCACAATGGCTCATTTTGGGGGGGTATGGCTTACCAATGCCCCTCCCTGACTTTGACCCTGGGGTGAAAGTTAGACTATAACCTCGCAGAGGAGATCAAACCAATGTAATAGACTGAATACATACTGTAAGAATATTGTCTAGACAGATTATACAGTGTATGCAGATTCATTTTCCTTGTCCTGTATCTTGCATTAAATAAATAAATGTATCATAAACAAATGTGAAACAATAGCTGTAGTAAACTAAGGCTGGGTTGCACCAGTTTGGATTAAATTAATCCTGGTTCAGACTTAATCTATGGTTAGTAAATTAGCAAGTGTTTAATTAATCACAGACGTGTTGGACGTCTTAATTTTAACCCTGGATTAGTTAAGCTTGTTAAAACCATGTTTAAAATACGATTAATTTAGGTGTCCGTCATGATGGATTCCGATAAAAGGAATTCACAATGCGTCCTAGGCTAAATAAATATCACCCTAAATAAAATTAATGCAAATATCTCATGAACTTTTAAAAAATAAAAGATACTTTTTTTTTACTTTTAAAAAATAAAAGATAACACTGATACTTTTACCACACTTTTGCTTTGTTATACTGATTTACTTTAACTTTACACACACAACTTGGACATTAATTGAGCAGTAGTCCTTTTAATTATGGAAAACCCATTCTCATCACCTAGGTTAGTAATCAAAATAAGCGTGGGAGATGCAGAAAGTTATGCATCATTCCTTATGAAACTAAACCCCCATGCCAAAACAGTGAAAGATAATGTTGTCCTCTCCTGGAGCCGACACCTTATCGTGGTGGAGGGGTTTGCGTGTTCCAATGATCCCAGGAGCTAAGTTGCCTNGGGAAACTAACTCAGACGCGGACTAAATACACAAGACAAGCAGGAAAGAACGGGTAACAGGTGATAACAATCGGTAATCACACGAGGTAACGAGGTGGGCGTGGCACACATCAGGATCGAACGGAGCGGATCGTGACACAAACGATTAAAATTTTTAATCAAATTAATCACAGGGTTGCTGTGGATTCATTTTGATTAATCACGATTAAATATCATTAAATTTTAATCTATATTAATCGCATTTCATTTTGCATGCACAAACAGACTCAAGAAAAAAGGGAATATATATGCACTTCACATGTTTATTGAATATCTTGATCAGGAGTCGGATGCATTCCATCTGCCACTGAAGTGCAATACCATGGACCCATATCAAAAAGTAAGATTTTTTGCTTAGCTGGACAACTTGTCGGATTTAAGGTACCTCAGTTTAAATGGTCTATCTTCGTTCACTTACAATTAGCCCGAACTACCGTAAATCTGACAAATAATCCGACTAATCATGAAATCCAATTCTAGCCCGGTTAATTGCCATTGTTAGCAATATCAGTTGATAACACATTACGCGTGGTGCTTTACGTATAAAACTCCGTAGCAACACGTCCACAGATAAGTTGGACGGTATAGTGTGTGCGACCAATTTAATGAGCCACAAATGAGAAGTAGTGCTTAAATAGTATAAAACTACAACTTCTGTTGATAAAGGGCGCAGCCATCTTGGATTCTGAACTCGGGATCCTCTGTGCTGCTCCGAGACATTTGTCAGATCTCCGAGAAACGGGAGCGCGCATGTCGTCAGTTCCGGCTTCAAAACTCGGAATCCGACTCGGTTATGGCACCACACCAAAGCTGCCATCTCTGCGCTGGTGTTAACAGCAACCTATGCATGGGACAGTGAACCTGTAGTGATGCCAGTCATCAAGACATGGTGCGGGATAACATGGGGTGTTGTACAGAGACCAATACCTGTGTCTGGATGGCAGGCGCAGATGTTATAGGGTTCTGTAATGCTTAGTATGGTCTGTCTTGAGTGACTGGAACCTTCACAACGTGTGTGGGAGCCCTCACGTGCCCATTTGTTCCAACATTAGGCGACTGTTAGCAATTGCACGACACACCTACCCGACTTCATGCAAACCCACAATGCGACCCCTATTAAGCTCCAGCAAGTGCTGGTAATGCTGTCTAATGTGTCTACGAGGCATCCTCTGTGTCTGGTGACTAGACATGCCAGCTCCTTGCAAATTGAGTCATTTACATACCCATCACCAGTCTGCTTGTGTACCAAAGTACATCCCTAAATATATATGGATAGTTACCCATCTACATTCTCATGTCTGTCATAGCTAGAGAAAATGGGAAACGGTTAAAATAAGGCAACCAAGTATCCTAGTCATTCCTCCGACTATTAGAAGAAGCTTTTTCCTTTGTCTAACATCCCCTCCACACATTCCTGAGAGACACCCCTCTTATCTGATCCCACAAATAAGTCAGTGACCCCTTTTCTTTATCCTCTACAATTTACATCAAACAAATGAATTGAAGACTTAGAGAATAAAGAAGACTTGTGTCTTCTTAAACATGGATAGCAAATTATTCTAATAAGCCAAGTTAACCACATATTGTAATTCATAAATGTTTGATTATGACTGTTAATCTAGGAAGCTAATGGCACCTCCTAAATTGACTTAGGGTTACGATGTGCTGTCCGAATTTGAAATGTAACTTCTGTACAACTTACCTAAAAGTGTCAACATTTGGAGATGTGCAGAATAGTGAGTAATCAATGTATATAGTGTAAATGAGATTGTAAATAATTAATTTCCCTACATAATGGTTGAGACACAAATCATTTGAGCTAATTCTTCCACCTGTGTGACAGGTATACATCTGTCAGCCAATCAAGCAAATTAACATTATCACATATTTTCTGAAAGTGCGTCTCTATAAGTTATCTTGTTAATGAAGGAGAGTGCCCTGGATCATGAACAATGAAATGAACAGACACAACACAAGTTGAACCCAACTCAAGTCAAAGTAATAATCAACAATGTTCTACTTGAAGAATTAGCTAATGTTCTCGATGACCATGTGCCGTCATTCAGGCCTTTGAATGAGGTGCACTGGCTCTCACATCGTCAGGCTGTGAATGCCATACTGAGGAACTGCAATATTTAGGTAGAATATTACTGCTTGGCAAGAAGTAACTGGTGCCAGACTAATGGAATGGATGCACAGTGCACATCATGCACTGTAATGTATGTTCAAGCTTTTGCACTGGAGACTTTCAATACCGAATGCTTGTGTTTGGGTTCTGACAGCATGTCTCTTAAAAAGGCCAGCTCTTCCAAATGTTTTATTGGATTCTTTATGTCTGCATGCCGATGCTGGTAATGTGATGCTGTGATACATATGCATCTGTATGCAGGACTGCATGACCTTGTGTCAGGACATCGGGTCATGCTGGGGTTACTTCCTGCTTGTCAAAGATCCAGTCAGTTGACGTGGGTGTTCAAGTAGTGTGGTGCAAGTTAGAGGTTTGCATGGTCTGTGGTTATAGGGTTTAATTCATTCAAGAGTGAACTTTATAGAGCTTTGTGTAACTCCCCCCTCAGCACCTGCAGTGAGTCACAGCTGCAGCAGTGCAGTCACTGTGCAGTCTGACTGAGGGAGGATTTTGTACGGCTCTGTATCACTGTGTGAACACCCAGCTGTCACTAATGTAGTGAGCACTCTGACAGTAATAATCTCCTGCATCTTCAGCCTGGACTCCACTGATGGTCAGAGTGAAGTCAGACCCATAGTCAGATCCACTGCCAGTGAATCGTTCTGGAGTCCCAGACTCACGGCTGCTTATATCATAGATGAGGAGTTCAGGCGGCTCTCCAGTCCTTTGTCGGTACCATGATACACAATCGCTACAGTATGTTGTAAGACTGCTGGTTTTACAATCAATGGCCACAGTTTCTTCTACAGAAACAACTTTTACTGCAGGTGTCTGAGTCACAGTAATCTGGCTTCTGGATTCTAAAACACAATAATAATATTATTTTAAATATTAACCACATATGACTTTATCATTACCATACTTCAGATTTGTATCATAGCATTTAATTTTCAGTTTGAATACTGATGATGATGCATTCAGACTGACCTTGGATGCAGAGGGTGAGGATCCAGATGAAGATAGTGATTAAAGTCATTGTCCCTGTGGACTGTGTTGCTCTGAAGGACGGCTGTGAGTAACAGAGTGTTAATCTCACAGGTTTATAAGCTGCCACAGGTCACTGAGGGACGTGCTGCCAATGCAAAGTGTGTCTTTCATGCAAATACATGTGATGCATCTGCTTCCGTAGCGAAAGGAAGGCAAACCTTGGTGCTCATTCAGGTTGTGAGATCACAGTTTTACACTGTTTTAATTACTCTTTTATCATTTTTAATTGTTGCTGGTCATAAGATGCACCCGTGTTTACCTGCAACTTCTTTTTTTATTGTAAACATATAGACATTTTATCTGGTGTTAAAATAGGGCCTTGTGCCCTGTGATGGACTGACATCCTATGCACAGTGTCTCCTGCTTAATACCCTCTGTCAGAATCAGTCCCTGTCCTCTGTCTGTTCCCTGTTTGGCCAGCAGGTTACTGGCGATTCCGTATCCCTAGTGCCTAATGTGTTCCTTCCATCCCAGGGCCGCTGTGTGGCTCAGTGGGTGGTTTCAACCCAACTTACTCATCCATGGGTTTGAGGCTGACTAGACACTAGTTTCACCCTATTTGACATTCATGTGACCTGGTTTTTGTTGTGCTTCTTGTTAATTATTTGAATTGTTTTGTTGCATCTCTGTTTGGACCCTTGTTTTGTTCCTTAGATATCTAGTCTTGTAGTATGTTCTGTTCCCATGTTCTAGATTCTTCTCGCGTTTGTACCTTTGGAATTTGCCCCCAGTGTCTTGTTTGTGGTTGACTGTAACTGGCCCACAGCTGTCCCTCATCTTACACTCAGTGTCCATGTAGATATGTGTTCCTGCCTTTGCCCTTGTTTCTCAGTTGGTCATTGTGTGGTTGTTACTGTTTGTGTTGTAGCTGCTGTTGCCCTCTGATTGCTGCTGGTCTGGGATGTGATCCAGGCCACTGGATTAGCAGCTATAAAATATGGATGGATATTTAGAAATAGTACAGTGATGAACATGTATGCTTATGTAACAGATGCTGTGTTCTGTTCGGTTCTGAAATTTAAACTTAAGTGGACAGACTGAAGGAGTAGGCTGAGGTCTTGGTCCTCTCTCTAAAGCTTGAATCAAAGAAGAATATTTAGAAAATCAGTTTCTTCTATTTTCTAAATATGTTACTGGCATTCCGCTCGATATTCCTATCTGAGGACAGTTAATGTGCCGTGAGCTAAGAAGAACAAACTATGTAACTGTAATGTGCGATCTACTGATGTCACTGCTATTTATTTAAACAAAACAAATGTTGTGCATATAAATAATTAGACCTAATTTTGGTGAGAATCATAATGTTTTACGGGTGTATTTTATCCAGGTCACACTTACTGAAAAGTGTACTTTATAGAGCTTTGCTTTAACTTCCTCATCAGCACTTGCAGTGAGTCCCAGCTGCAGCAGTGCAGTCACTGTGCAGTCTGACTGAGGGAGGTTTTTGTACGGCTCTGCATCACTGTGTGAACACATTTTTACTACTGATCCAGTGGTAACTCTGACAGTAATAATCTCCTGCATCTTCACCCTGGGCTCCACTGATGGTCAGAGTGAAGTCAGTACTAGATCCGCTGCCAGTGAATCGAGACGGAGTCCCAGAGTTAAGGGTACTTGCATAATAGATCAAGAGTTTAGGAGCTTCTCCAGGTTTCTGCTGGTACCAGGCCATGCGCTCACCAAAGAAATTAGTAAATACTGGGCTGCTGGTTTTACAATTTATAGTGACTGTCTGTCCTGAGGAAGCTGATTTCAGCTCTGGTGTCTGAGTCACAGTCACTTGTCCTTTGGATTCTGAAAAGAAATAAGAAATAAAAACAAAAAGCAAAATAAACATTTACAATTAAGTCACACAAGGAAACTCCAGTCATAGAGTCCACTGAATTCTGAAAAGAAATACAAAATTTAAATCAGACTTAATACAACATTAATACACTATTAAACCACACCAGACATATCTTTCAAATTCTAACCAAACTACACAGTTCATTAAGCAATATGTTTCAAAATCATCAAGCTTGTTCTGCTTTACCGTGAGTGAGGATGAAGAGCAAGACGCTGAGGCTGATCAAAGTCATGTTTGCTTGGAGTCTGTTGTGATGAAGGGCAGCTGTCAGTCATGAAGTGTTAAACCTCCTGGAATATAAACCCTCCCAGAGCACTGAGGCATGAGCTGAAAATGCAAAGTATCTTCTGACTGACAACATAACATGGAAATTTTTCTGTGTAAAATGATGAAAAACACTTCTTTATGCAGATCTGTACTTCTTTTTCTATAGTAAAGTGTCTGTATAGCTATTTAATCACTTTAGTCTTGTTTTATATTGTTTGAGTCAGTCATAGATATAAACAAAGCAGAACTGTAGGTGAAATTGAAGAACAAGCAGAACAAATGCGTTTGAAATGAAGGCACTCTGGCTCTGTATATGTCTGTGTGCAGTCCCTGTATTCCTGGCGGTTTTCTCTGGTTAATCCCCACCCCAGTCCAAATACATGCAGCTACAAAAATTACTAATTTGACCGTAGTGTTTGTCCTGTGATGGACCAGCATCCCATCCATGGTGTATCTGCCCAGAGTCCTGTGCTTCCTGAGAGGCTCCATGCTCACTGTGATCCTGTACTGGATACGCAGTTATGGAAGATGGACGTACAGGTTCAGTGACAGATAATGCAAAAAAAAAAAAATTCTAAATTATGAAGATTTAGTACTGTATCATTTATACATTAAATTAAAAATAATTGAAGTCATCGATTTCCATAATGTAAATTAATAAAGACTGATCAGATAATCTACTACCTGTTTTCCTGCTTTTAGTCACTGAAGAACATGCTGACAATGCAAAGTGTAAAAACATGAAAAAATTTATTATCTCCTTCAGTTTCTTGTAACGGTGTAATTGGCAATCCGCTCGAGTTTCCCACCTCAGGAGACGGGGCGTGAACTTAGAAGAGCAGCTGTAATGTGGGATTTATCGATGTCACAGTTTGTATATACAAAATGAAATGTGAACATAAAAATAATGAGTTAATTTTGGGGAAAATCATCATTTTTAAGATTCGGATCCTGTTAAACTTACTGAAAAGTGAACTTTATAGAACTCTGGTTCAACTTCTCACTCAGCACCTGCAGTGAGTCCCAGCTGCAACAGTGCAGTCACTGTGCAGGTTCAGATGGACGTACAGGGTCAGTGACAGATAATGCACAATTCAGTTGTCCCCCCATATCCATTGGTGATATGTTCCAAGACCTACTGTGGAAAGCCGAAACCAGAGAAAAAAGAGAACCATCCGCAGACCCCATATATACATGTTTTTCATGTACTTACTTATGGTAATTGATAAATTACACACAGTAAGACATTACAGATACAGTGACAATATATTTTCTCTATGTAATCAGTCAGTACATCAGAAATGTGCAGCACAGCACAGTAGAAACAGAGTAATCAGCCGCTCATCACAGGTGACGCTGAGCTCATCTACTCTGAACAGTCGGCCCTCTTCAGCGTTT